CTTGGCCAGGGCCAATGCTTCTGGTTTGGGTTCCACCTTCGCATTCAAGGGGATATGTTGAGTCTGCTGTCCCGGCGGTGGTCCTCGTGGTTGTCCTTGTGGTTGTCCACCCTGTTGCTGTTGTTGCTGCTGAGCCGCCTGCTGCTGGCGTATGAATTGTTGTCTTGCTTCTTCCTGCTTCATCTGGATGAATTGTTGAGGGGTCATTCCCGCCTTAGCGGCTTCGGCCTCGATCTGTTGTCGCTGAAAGGCTTGAAACTGAGGGATGGTCATTCCACGCTTCTGCGCTTCCATGGCGATCAATTGTTGGATTTGTTGCGGGCTGAAGGGTTGGGCGCCCGGCGGAGGGCCGCCTGGGGACGCCATGGTTGCAGAGTTGTAGGAGAGGCCTGCGGAAAAGAGGGGAGGTGAGAGATCGAGCAAAGATTTCCTTGGATGTGTTGAGTCTACCAAACTAAAGGTATAATAACGTAGACTTAAGAGAGAGAATATCGTCAGTACGCCGATTATAGGGCGAGATGGCTCCTGGATAGAAGACACGGTTTGCGATCAGAATAATGGAGGCGCCAAAAATTGGGGGGGGGCACAAGCCGCGCGAAGCCATTGGTCATGCGCCACATCATTCAGCCTCGTCGCCAAGACCGTGGCTGTGCAAGATCCCAGAATATCGTATGGCGGAACTCGTTTACAACTCGACCATCATTCACCGGCACAAGTGGTACTCAACATTGTGAGCTTACAAAGAAGTTTGTTAATATAGTCCAACCCAGACGTTGACACACGACGGAAACCCATTCAGCGTGAAAGCGAGGGCACTCGAAGCTTGGTCATTCTTCCCGTCCCAACTTGTCACCGACCCGTCTCTGCTCCCTCTCCCAATCTTGGGATCAGTGACCGACCAACTCTCCCTCAACATGTCAAGATACCCGTCCGACAGATGACGTCCCTCGGATACCAGCCCGGCCCTGCGGCGGAACCGGATGACCATTGGGGAACCGTGTTCCTGGTAGGTTGCCTCCCTTCACCTCCAGACTGCTCGTGTCAACTAATTGAACAAGTCCATGCGAGATGCTTCCGGACAGGTTCCTATCAACTACATAACCAATCCCGGGATCTACGTCACAAAGGCCTGCTTTTCTGATGGGGTCTACGATGACCTCCCGACTCAAACATGCATATCAGATCTATTTGCAAGCCAATACCGCCGGCTGATCATCGATCTCTACTGGGATAACATCAACCGTCAATTCAGTCTGTGCCCAGTTGAGCTTCCTCCTTTGGTGGGCAATGCGACGGCTGGTTACAGTGTGGATTCATCGGCACTGTATTCTATCACGGCATCCACTTCTTTCGAAACCCCCGTCTCGTCCACCACGGTAGCGTCAAATGCATCGGTGTCCCTTGTTCCTAGCCTCGAAATTCGACAGGCTTCGTCGTCTTTGCCGGACAACTCCACCTCGCCGCTCACCGCTACCTCTCCCTCGATAACTAGTAGTATTACGACCACGACGACGGGCGACGTAGCCATCCCAACGGCGACTGGTGTCACAGGTGGAACTTTACTCAAACTGGGACCTTACATGTGTAGTCTGGACTTGAACATCGGTTCCGTCATTTCTTTGTACAATGATTACTTTGACCACACCTCAGACACTATCTCTGCACGACTACATTTTCTCGATATCAATCTACACGCCGCAGCGCCATTCACCGACCCTTCCTCGCCCGCGCACACCCCGATGCCGGGTCGACTACCTCATTCCGATGAGCTGATAGGCGCTCAATTTCAGGCCGCACTCGGTAGGGATATATACAAACCGCAAGACTTGCAAGAAGATCGAAGAAATCTGAACAAGTCGTGGTTCCGGGATAATTACCGAGTCACAACAGACGCAAATTACTTTCGTACAGAGCAAACAGGACAGGATGGCGTCCTTTCCACACCAGATGGCTGGCCGGGAGAAGATTGGATTCTCCTTACCGACAGCCGGAGGCTTCTGCTGAGTTGGGACCAGATCGATTCGCAGATGGCAGCGTACGACTTTCTGACCGAGTCGAGCAGCATCTTCAACGCGACTGAGCTTTTTTCAACTCCGTCTGTCGAATGGAGTGACACGGGCGTGGTGACTTCAGGCTGCTATTATCGTCCAGGCGATACGACAAATGCATCCTGGGCGATTGCGACCATCCAGGACACCAGTCCCAATGCGCTCTCTCTCCTTGCCGGAAACTTGTCCGCATGTGGCTACTCACCGGTAATCAACATGACTTTGGACGGCGTGTCTGTACAGAATAATTTGGCCCCGTACCGGGATTTTGCCCAGTCGACAGTGTTTGGTTGGGCTCCGGGTCAGCCACTTAACACGTCCTCGGTTAAGAACAATGGAAAGAGTGACGACCAGCTTCGGTGTGCAGTTATTGATTCAACGAGCCAATTCCAAGGACGTTGGCGGCTAGAGTCATGCCAAAAGTCACGGCGAGCCGCATGTCGCATTGCAGGCGTGCCATATGCATGGCGCCTTTCTACCTTCGATGTCCCTTATAGTGCGGCGCCAGATGCATGTCCGGAGCATACCTCATTCGACCTCCCTAGAACGGGGCTGGAAAACACGTACTTGTATCGGCAGATATTAAATGATACAAATCCCCCAGATGACGATTCAGACAAGATCTTGTCGGGTGTCTGGATTGATTTTAACTCGCTGGACGAGGAAGACTGCTGGGTATTGGGCGGTCCCAATGCAACATGTCCTTACTTGGACTTTCAGGAGGAAGATCAACAAAGACAGATTCTCATTCCGACAATAGCGGCATTGATCATCCTGATACTGACCGTTTTGACAATTCTGGTCAAATGTAACCAGAACCGAAGGAATAGCAGGACACGAAGAAGAGGCGATAATGGATGGGAGTATGAGGGTATTCCGTCTTGATTGCTGCGAGGATATGGTTCATTTAGCTGCTATGCTAATGTCGGCATTGTCCTGTGCTCTCCTTACCTTCCCACAAATGTTGCCATTAGCTCGGGGCGGACCCCCACAAACTGGGTCGGTCCAACTCTCCTCCGATGTGGCGTCCTTCGGCGACTTTCCTCACGCAACAACATGGCAATGACTCAGCTGCGCAAGGCCCATTGTGCCCTGGATCCCCACCGGGGGTAGCCTTGTCAAACATGATCCTTCCTGACAAACCGGCAACATGGGAGAATGCATATTGATATCTGCTGGATTTCAAACCAAAAGCCAGATCAAGCACGCGACTGCGCAATGTGCAATTCCGAAACATACGAGCATAGACATTTGTACGCGCCACCCATGCCCACAGCGGAATTGAGCCATGCAAACAAATGCCGGGTTACGGCATTGCAATTCTCCATAACACCGACACTGGCAGATCTATAATCTAGTCTTGGGGATAATTGAGGCTGGGACTACATAAAAGGGACTTGACTCTGCAAGAGAAGGACACTTCCTCTGTCGTCCTCGATCACACCATCTACCGAGCCAACTTCGACATCCGCAGCCAGACACAGACGTACGAATCAACTCCACATCCCCTCTGAATCTTCCAGACTGGGCCCCACATCGACATTGGGATAGACTTGCATAGAAATAGTCTTGCTCCTTGCTCTACCTGTCCTCGTACTTCCACAGACAACCACTGCAACTCATTTGAGGAATAAATAACTGCAACCTCTCTACAACACACATCATGGCACCAGTAAAAGTGGCCGTCGCGGGAGCCACGGGCAACGTTGGACTGCCAGTCATTCAGGCACTTCTTGACGCCAACTATTCTGTTACTGCATTGACGCGCAAGGGAAGCAATAGCGCCTCCAAACTGCCTCAGTCTTCCAACCTCACAGTCAAAGAAGTCGACTATACGTCGGTGTCGGACCTCAAAGCAGCTCTAGAGGGTATCAAAGTGGTGGTGTCCACCCTCGCAACCACCAGTATTGGCGAGCAATATCCTTTGATCGACGCTTCCATCGCCGCTGGGGTGGAAAGAATCCTCCCGTCCGAGTTTGGCAGTGATTTGGATAACCCCAAGACTGCTGCTCTCCCAGTGTTCAAGTACAAAGTTGAAGTGCAGAACTACCTCAAGGCCAAAGTCAAGGAGAACCCAAACTTCAGCTACACGCTCCTATACACGGGTCCCTTTTTCGACTGGGGCCTCGAGCACGGCTTCTTCTTGAATCCGGCCAAACACTCGGGCGTTTTGTACAATGGCGGCGACGCAAAGTTCTCGACCACGACGCTCAAAACCATTGGCCGGGCCGTAGTTGGGGTCATTGAGCACCTTGCCGAGACGGCCAACCGCGCAGTCTATGTGCACGACACGGTCACCACGCAGAACAAGCTGATCGCCTACGCCAAGGAAAAGGACGGCAAGGAGTGGGACACGTCGGTCAAGTCGACCAAGGATGTCTACCAGGAGAGTTTGGACGAGTTGACCAAGGGTGGAGACATTGGCAAGGCCATGGTCGGGTTCATTCTGAGTGGTATTTTCGGTGGTGACGAGACGGGCGCGAGCTACGAGGGCCGCACGGACAATGCATTGCTGGGCATCAAGGAGTTGAGCGAGCAGGAAGTCAAGGAAGTCGTCCAGCGCTTTGTGTAAGTTCTTGTCCATGCACAGAGTCTCAGGCCCTTTTCTTTGAAGCAGACGGAAACAAGATACTCTTATAGCCTCAAACCTGAAACCTGAAACCCGGGTCCGTTAGTTAGGTACACTCAATACAAAGAAAGACCTGACGACCGGCCCTGCTAGGACACCGAACCCCAAGACCAAGACGGACGTCAAACTGTGAATAGAATCATCGCAGAGAGCCCTCGTCGGAAGAATCAAACATGCATTGTTCTATCTGATCCAATCAATGCTGTGGATCAATTTCCTATCGTTGTTTCTGAGTGCGCATACTATGAAGAAAGACGGCCACGGACGAGGGGCCCCTTTGAAGGATCAATGGCCAACGAGTCAATTGTTGCTGTTGTGGGTTGTTATATCCAGATCTGTCCGTCCTCGTCCACAGAGGCCGGTATACCCCCTGGTCGTGGTCGTTGTCGTTGTCGCTGCGAGGTCGAGGGCGGTATTTCTTCAGCCGCCGGCCCTTCCGTCAACACTCGTGTTTGTGTTCGTGCTGCCGCCAACGCTGATGTACCCTTCTCGCCCCGTCCGTGTAAAAGTTCGGGGAATTCAGCCGGGTCGTAGACACAGACACGGGGAGAGGGATACACGGTCGCCTCTCCCTCGCCGTCTCCGTCTCCCTCTCTCGCCTCCAGCATCGTCGCTGGTGTCGTGGGATATAGCCCCTCTCCCCTGTCGACATGTGTAGCGACGGGCTGCGCAGGCCGGATGGGTAGGCCGCGGGAAGTATCTTGTCGAGATGCCTTCGTCTTCTTCCTCTCCATCGTGTCCCCGCTGCTATCCCCTCTGCGATCCGTCCGTTCACCGGCTTCCCACATCTTGAGCGTCGGTACGGTTGGATAGACGGGCAAATACAGGTCGAGAATCTCGTCGATGTCTGCCGACAGGAGGAGGGGATCTGCGTCCGTGCCATTTCCTTTCTCATTTCCTTTTCGCCCTTGACCCCTTCTAATTTGAGGGAGGGTTTCGTAGTATCTCCGTAGCGGCGGATGAGTCCCGTCGTTGCTGCTGGGGCTGGGGTGATGAATGTCGTCGCGACCGGGACCGCTACCGCTACAGGGATCGGATGGTAGGGGCGGTAGAGCCTTGTCTCTGAAAATCGAATTCGCTGCTAAGGGGTCTTGCTCATTTGGCGGTTTCGTTGTAGGTCGTCCGACCACTGGCACTAGTCCTGGCACTGAAATAGTGCATGTGGTGCCGTGGCAAGGTGTATCCTCAGGCTGGGCTGCACCGCCGACACTGGGACAGTAGATTGTCGCCCAGGAAGACTGGGGCGAGTTCGCCTCTGGATGCTGCTCGGTCAGGAGAGAGAAAGCCTCACGACCACTATTCCTCCCATCTTCTCCACCGGCAGCGTCAGCGTCATCAGCATCAGCAGCAGCAGCAGCAGCAGCAGCAGCGGGCGACGCGCACGTCCTTTGCCGTGTCAGCCGCAGGGGTGGCGGTACCAGTAGATTCGGATTCTTCTCATTGCGATTGCAGCGGTCATTCCCCTGGCCGACATCTGCTCCACCAGTCTCGAGAATAGTAGGAGGAGGAGTGTTCTTCCTGTCACATGGCAATGGATCGGAGAAACCTCGACGAGGTCCGGGATTCCGACGTCTGCGTCGCCGGGACTTGGGATCGTCGCTGGTGTCATGATGGTCGTCGCCGTCTCGTGTCCCAGTGGCAAGGGGAAGCTCGGGAAGCGGGCGAAGCGAAGACATCCAGTATCGGACAGGGTCTGAAGAAGCGAGTCCAGCTCTCGAGTAGTCGCTCCGTAAGCCCTTTGGTTCTTTTACGCCCCTCACGCTCCCATCGCAAGGGACATTCGTCGTGGTGAGTCGCTCAAGTGTCTCGGTCAGAGAGAGCGGCAGTGTCATATGCCCGTCGTCATCGTCGTCGTGGTGATCATCATCATCATCATCATCATTTTCTTCAACTACTTCTTCTTCGTCGTCCTCCTCGATAACAGATATGCCACCCGCCAATTTACAGCCAGCACTTCCCTCGCCATTGCTCTCACAGTACACGCTCCTGTCGTCGTCTGGACCCGTGTCTGACGGACTGTTGCTGAACTGCTCCTCGACCCATTTCTTGGGAATGACCCTACTCCATCCATCCGGGTCGATTCGAGCAAATGCTACACATCTCTTGTCCGGGTCCAGATCGGCCCAAGAACGCGGCGTGATGTTATGTTTGCACTGTGCATTTGGAGGAGGGGCTCGTCCAGCGTTCGAAATTGACGGCTGCTCGGCCTTCCAGAGACACCCTGACCCGTCGCGTGATGGGTACGGGTCTGCATGAGACGCGGTCGGGAAGTGCAAGGAGTTCGGTCGAAGAGGCACGGGCGGACTGATTCTCAACTTGGGTTTCCTCGCCACGGTCGGATTCGATGACCACCAGCGAGACTCGGCCTCTCTGCGAGATACATATGTCGCTGTCGGGTGCTCACCCCGCTGTCTCTTGGGTCGGAACAGGGACCACGACAAGAGTGAATTCTTCCGCCGCCGGTTCTGTGCTGGGTAGTGGCGGAGATCGGCTGTTGACGTCTGTGATGGTTGCTTCTGACTGGCAACGCCCCAGCTCGAGGACGAATATTCTGTGACCGGCGTCGCCTCCGAGCTCTTGCAGTATTGTATCTGTGAGATCCACGACGCCGGCGTCCCCGGCGGGCTCGATGATGTCTCGCTGAACCGACTCTGATGATCTCTTTTCGACTCGAGATCCATCATTGTAGAAAGTCAGGGGATCTGAAAGGGCAAGTATCCAGATCCAGATCCATAACGTACCAAGGTTTAGAATTCGGGTTTGACAGATCGATTTGGTGAATTCCGTTTGTCTGAACAGAGTCAGAGCAGAGCAGTCAAACGACACGAGGCACGAGGTTGAGAAACGGTGGTGGTTGACATTGCCTTCACCGACTGGAGTAATCACTCGTTCGAGAACTTCTAGAAGAATGCCTCATGACATGTAGACAGCTCGGTGACACGCCAGCAGCCCTAAATAGTCCTCTCAACCCAGCATTCGAAACACGATGTGCTATCATGTGAGAAGAAGCCATATTTGCACAGGTTGTTCGTCATGCTCGGGGCACATGCGCTGGCTGTAGGTCAAGGCTGATACACAGGCAAGGCACTGAACCCATGACCAAAATTCTTTCCGATAGAGAAGCTACTGCTTTGACGTACCTATATGAAGCCAAGTTTGGGCATTGAGAGCATAGGGGTATGTTGTTGTTTGCTTGTTACCAGCTTTGTCAAACGAAAGGAGGAAAAATGACGTCCGTCTGAAAGAACAGAACAGGCTGCATAAGTGCGATTGTTCGCAGAATATCTTATGTATTTCTAACCTCCACCTGTGACGAGATAGATGCATGGTTCATTCGCAACGTCACAGTTTTGACTTGAGCCACGATTTGATGGCCTTTCCTTGCTCCGTCTCGGCCGTGTCGCCAAATCGCAAGTGAATGATGGGAGCAATGTGTGCCTCGTTCGCACCGACCACATGGGTTATAGAGTCCGGGTTGACAGACTTGAGAGTTCAGCATTAGCAGATTTGCCCTGAATGAGTCGAGCAAACGGCCCTCCGACCACCGAGACGAGAAGAAACGGAGGGAAGAATCAACGCACCTTGTACTTCTCCACCCACTGGGCAATCGAGTCGACCAGGATCTCGTTCCCACCACACACCACCAGGAGATTCTCAACTTTGGCGTCTTTCCACCACTCTGTCGGAGCATTGAGCGGCTCAGCAAAGGGCGTTGACGGTTTCCCTGCCAGGTAGTCCTCGGACCACTTTCGACCAGCGTATTGGCTGACAATGTCCTTGTGGCGGTTCCTTCTCTCGCTCTCCCAGTCAAGATTGAAGCTGACCCACGGGGCCACTGCCACAATCCCCTTGAGTCTCTCACCATCGGCCAGGTTGAGCTCCGGGAATTCAGAGGATGGATGCATGATTTGTGATAGTACCCCGAGGCACATGTTAGCACCGGCGGAATCGCCCGCAAGGAGAACCTGCGACGCCGGGCGATTCAAGTCTTCCAAGACGTATTTGACGGCTTCGACGGCTTCGTAGATTGGCTTTGGAAAGGTGGCATGTGGCACGAGCGAGTACTCGAGGAACAAGAACGCAATTGAGATGTCGTCGCCCTTGAGGTCGTTCTGAACGCTGCTCCAGAATTGGAGATGGGTATCGTCGCCATCGAGCGAGAAGCCGCCTCCTGCGGTGGGATCAGTCACACAATCAGAAATGGTGACAATGACAAGACGCATACCGTGGAAATACACACAGACGTATTTGGCGGTTTTTGGATCACCCACCCAGAACGCCTTGCATCCAGACTTTAGAGTCACAAACTCTGGCTGGACGTGGGCGCCTTTACACCACTTCTCATAAACTTTTGAAAACGGCGCGCCTAGATACCTGCAACTTGTGAGCCGAGCCTGGGGCCTCTGATCGGGGGCCACTTACTGCAATTGAAGCGTGGTGAACCTTTTCACCATCTGCCCACCTTAGTGATAGTCTACGAACATAGGGTATCACCGGCCTACCGTTCGCACGAGGGTGAAAGAGATATGCTGCCCATAGGTATGAGCTCCAGACTCGCCGCGGAATGGGGCGGTGGCCGCCGTATATAGAGCTGTCCCGACTGGTACAACATCAGCTGGAATAGAACAGTGAACTCTCGTGGGAAGATCTTACTCAATGACAGTAGTCCCGGGAATATGTCCAGCTTCTCCAGGAAAGAGACCTGATGTACAGGAGCAGAAAGCGCTTGGTCGGCGCTAGGAGGGGCTGCCATGTTGGACTTGGGTATAATACAATCGGTCAACTGATTGGGTCCCAGGAGTTCAAGCTCTGCAGTTGTCCGCGACCTTGGATGGGGCAAGGCTGTTGATATATGTGATGTGTGAGGACAGGGTGTATTGCGTATCGGTGAGGATACGACTCGATGTCAGGTCTGACAAGTGTAGGGGAGTGAAAATACCAGTCAGCACAAACGAACAATAAGCAATAGCCGATGCTTTCCCAGGCACGCAGGCTCTTCTTACTCGCACAGTGTTGGGTGTGGACACATTCAAAGGATGTAGGAACAAACACGGGGTGCGTCGTAAGGAGAGCCTGTCTTACTCATGTACTTGAAGAGGAAAGTAATCTACGAGAATTAGCATCAAGATCACCATGGACGTGATAAGGCCATTTGTGAGCTGTCGGCGTGCACAAGTGCATCCCACTAAGGACTAAGGCCGTGAGATCAATAGCTCGTCGCCGTCAAACACCGCAGCCTTTGACGGCGATGGGTAGTTGCCGAGGCATATACCAAAACAGGTATAGCGTATGTTGGGGTGAGGGACTCCATTTGCATGTGCACGCAGCGACCATACACGCCATACCAAGTACAGCATTGCTTAACCTCTGGCTTTCTGTCTCTCTTCCTCTCCTTTCTCATTTGACCTGTCGAGCTCGAACCCTTGCGGGGGATGTAGGTCCGTCTTCGTCGCCCCACAGTAAGACAAGGCTGTCCATCTCCCGCGGGCCACAAGAATGTGTCCCATCAGGACGACTCCCATGACACTCATCGAATCGAGAGTTTCTCCTCCCTCTGTACGTGTTTAGGCCGTCGTGTAGGGCCCGCAACCCGCGAGCTGGAGATTACCAAACATGAGGCGGTCTTGATATGAGACTCTGCTACGGGTACACACCGTGGTGGTCAGATCGAAAGAAGCAGGCATACCACCAAGGGAGAAGAAACCAAAGCACACACATCTCTTTCACTAAACAAAATGATCCCATCTCAATACCATCACAATCAATTCTTGTTGTGGACGATGGAGGCCTTGCCTTGTGTATGTTTGAGATAAACGCCAGTCGTCTCATTGTTCCCAAATCCGACGTGACGACACGAGGAAAAGGGAAAGGTAAAGGAGAGAGCCTCGCAGCCTCGCGCACCCCTTTCATGCTACGTTCATCTTAACAGCCTCCAGCTGCACTGTTACCAGGTCGAGCCGCACATCAAGCCGCGACAGCAAACACCAGCTGCCTACAATCACGAATGTCTTCTTTTGGAAGGGCTGATCTTGTCACTCGGTCGTCCACCCATTAAATCACATCACACGAGAACAACGAACAGCGAACGACCGAACGAACGAACCACTGCCTTCGAACCCCCGGAGCTTGATATTGAGATTGAGGTTGCCGCCCGCCAACCATCTCGATTACAGACGTCCTCCTCAAATCCTTCACCACACTCAACATGCCCTCTACAATTGCGAGCCACGATCCCTCCAACCCCAAGAAAGGCGTTGAGACACCTTACTCAACCGCGTCTGGAGGCGGCGATGCCACCACCGCTGGCGTCATTACGCCTGCCAACATCGATGACACGCCCACGCGGGCTGGGGATAACCACTCCAGGACTTCGCGTGAGTGCCACGGCGCCATAATCGCCTGGGGCAGTACTTCGGGGAAACTGTACCTCTCTGCCGGGGACCTCAACGAACCGCATGTGACGGCTAGTCTCGCGGCGCTTTTCACCAGTGTGGGCAAGGCGACCACCACCAGGGATGGAAATGCAGGGGATGGCAATGGTGGTGGTGGTGGTTGTGGTAGTGAGGAAAGGGAAAGCAATGCCGATTAAATCGGTCCCTCTGCCTCTGACCCCGTCATTCCTCTTGTTCTTCCTCTCTCCCTCACCCTCTCTCAATCTACCATGAGAAGGAAAGAAGCGCTTACGCAACCCAACCACACACCATACACCATGCACAATACAACGAACGAGTCAGCAGACCTGAATGAAGCGAACCAAACCACGAGCACTCGTAGGGATCCACGGGGGGAGAAATTCTCGGCAACGAGTGAATCGAACTTTGCTCGGCCTTGGGCTCTTTCTCACAGATAGATGATACCGGGATCAATCAATCAATCACACACACCATCACCCTCACACGTTCTCACACACTGTCAATCACACACATATGAGAAAAGGCTTCTGATTTGGCCCCTCGTTTACAGGCTACGGCATATATTGACTCTGATTCCAGCGCCGCGCAACAAGGTTGGTTGACCCTCCACAGAGAAATCAGAGATTGATTACTCCCCCTATGGACTGGGGCTGGGGCTGGGACTGGGACTGTGCAGAAAAAGAACGTCTCGGGCGTCTATCTCTCAAGAGACGGGGAGCAGGCCTGGACAAATACTAGGTAGTCTCGGATTGACCCCTGCTTACAGCGCCACCAAGCGCTACAGAGGCATGAAGCAATGGTACAACTTGTAAACCTTTTGTTGCAGAAATCTTGGTATGCCCGTTTTCCTCCCTGGTACACCAAAACATATCGTGGCATTCATTCGTTTCACTCCGTCCTAGAGCAGGGAACAACGTCCCCGCTGACGCCTCCAGCTGCACGCCCATTATTGCTATCACAGATCTCTCAAGGTCTTCCCGCTCTATTGGACGACCTGACTGTTGACGGCCTGAGCTTGCTCCACGGTCAATGGCTTGCCGCCCATCTCGGTTTCCTGGTTGTCGATATTATGATAGTCAAGGATTTCAGAGTACATCATAATCTTCCACGTGTCCACCGGAAGATCGGCATCGTTGAACGACCAGTCAAACTTCTCGTCTGCGACTGGCTCATCGGTCGGATCGTGATATGGCGAAAGGTACTCGTGCTCCAGGCCACCGGCTGCTGATACTCGTTTCTTGGGGTCGAAAACCAACATCTTCTCCAAAAGGTCGACGGCGGAAGGGTCGGCATTCTTGAATTTCGCACTTAGGGGTTGCCGTTCTCGCTTGGGCAGAGATTGGACAAATCTGAGGGTGTTTTCGCTGCAGATGGTCTCAATCACGTCCTGGGGAGGGGTACCAAGCAGCTCGGTGATGATGGAGAACTGGTTGACGTGATCTTTGCCTGGGAATAATGGTTTCCCTTCCAACATCTCAGCGAAGATGCACCCAGCGCTCCAGATATCCACCTCGACGTCGTATTTCTGCCAGGTAAGCATAATCTCGGGGGCTCGATAGTACCGGGTTGAGACGTATCCAGTCATTTGAGGGTCCTGGATACGAGCCAAACCAAAGTCGCAGATTTTGAGGTCGCAATTCTCGTTGACCAGGATATTGCTTGGCTTCAGATCTCGGTGGACGACGCCAGCCGAATGGACATATTTGAGGCCTCGCTGCACGTGATGCTGTCAGTGATCCACGCATCGGAGACAAGTTCCGGGACATGTACATACCAGGATTTGATAGAGGAAATATTGGATGAATTGCTTCTCAAGCGGTCTTGAGGTCAATAGGCGATGGAGGTCAGTGCCCAAGAGTTCGGTCACGAAGTAGCTGGGCTCAACATCAGCATTTGGGCGCTTGGGGGAAATGGTGCTGATTCGGCATACATGTCTTCAAGCGGGGAGATGAAGATATCGCTGAGAGAAATGACCTGATAGTTCAGTATCATCAAAGACCAATTAGGGGTTCTTTCCAGCTCACATTCTCATGCCGAAGGTGTTTCAGCAGTTTGAGTTCTCGATAGGTGCGTTTTGCGAGCACCGGTGTAGAGAACGGCTTCATAATCTTCTTGACCGCCACCGATTGGCCTGTCAATTGATCTTTGGCAGAACTTGCAGGCTGTTAGTTCGGAGGTTTCAGATGTATTCTCTGGAACAGTGCTTACCAGACAAGACCAAAGGCTCCCATGCCCACGGGTTGCAAGTCTGTGTACCTGGCTTCCAGTCAGCTGCGCGTGTCTTGCCACCCATATGCTTTTTCTGCCTACCGGCTGGTGATCTCGAATGTCGTCCCAAATATCTGGGCACGCACGAACTCCGCCATCTTGATAGAAATCTAGTTGAGCAGGGCCAAATCTCGGAGAGCAGTGGAGGGGTGGTCTTGGATTCGCGATAGCGTGAGTGGTCGCAAGAGATCGCGACGTGCGTAAAGTGTGAGAGTAGAGTGACGACCGGCTCAGCCAGAGACAAGAGACAAGGTGAAACGAAAAGCTCAAGTACGGGAGTGGCGGTTTGGAACTTCGGGATGTTTCAGGTATCCTGAAAATCGCAGTTAGAAAGGCACGAAAGGGAAGGGAGACAGGAGTGCGGCGGACACCAGGAAGCACGAACCTGAGAGACTGGCGCAACCGATGGATATTATAGCATTCAATGTCTGGTACTGGTGACTGTAGCCAATTTCACTACTCAGGAAAACTTGTCGTGGTGGTAGGAACAATGGCATATGAGAAGAGCAGAGCAACTGGAAGCAATAGCGGCGGCGGGCAGCAGTAACAGCAGTAGCCAGCCAGCCAGCCCAGCGTGGGGCAAACCAGTTTCCCGCCTTCTGGCTCCTCGATCGGGTCAGTTCTGGGTTACTAAAGGCTTGATGGTGGTAGTGGCACCTAACCAAGTACCTAGTAACGGTTGGAGTGGCTTGAAAAGCCGTCTTTTTGGCTGGAGGATGCCCACAATGCCCGCTTAAAAGATGACAATCGCAATCACCCATGCCCCCCAAGCCCTCCTGGTGCCCCTAAGCCCAACTTCCCATCTACAAGTATCATTTTGTACCGTGTAATCCGTTTACCCCTCCATCCTCACTCCCACCTAGGCAAGTCAAGCAATTCAGCGACGTCGTGGACCATCCCTCCAATCTCATCCAATCTCATCCCAGCCACTTCTGTGTGACGGTGGTACTTTCTTCCGTCGACCCAAGGCCGGAGAAATCATCCAGCTGGCACTTTTTACACCTCCAGGATGTCCGCAGGCGATTTCGATTCCAAACCTCCCGGACAACCAGAGGTTAGTCAGATCGCTCCACCCTCTGGCTTTTCGATTTCAGTCGATGTTCCCGATCCATTTGCAGCCCACGAGCAGAAAGGTACAACTCGGGTTTGTCAAGCCCGTCGCGGATCCCGTTAATAATCGATGATCTCACCCACCCTGTTCTTTCAGTTAAGTTAGAACCATCAGGCCATTGGAACAACACATTCAATAAAACCCGAACCCTCACGCACTCCAGTCACGTGGAAGTACTGATTCAATCCCAGCAATAACACTCCAGGCTCGCCTTTTCACAACTGGATTTCATGGAAGATGGTGACCCAGCTCTACTCTGCCGTTGCCCGCATCTCGTAGCACTCCTCGACCTCAAGCGCGACCTCAAGCAAAGCGTCTAATACAAGACGAGCGTCGCTATCCTCCAATCAAGTCAAAAAGCCTTTCATATTTGTCCGGAACCAGGAGTTCCTGGGCAACAACATCATAAAATGGGCCATCCAATAATAAGATATGTAAAATTGAGCAATACTACAACGCAAGGACGTAGGGGTGCTGGGGGTGACACCCGTGTCTATCAAAGATAGGGAGCCAACTACCTATCCACTGCTTGGCCAACATCGATGTGTAGAGCCTTGGCATTGATTCATTATCATTTCTTGAGTAATGCTCTATTGCTGAATAGGCAAGGGGATCGAAGCATTACTCTGACACCATCTCGCGAATTGTTGACTGGGGTCCCATGAGATCTCGTTGTGGTACATACGTATAGATGGTGGGCTCGCGAGAAAGCGCCTCGGCTATTGACCACTGACCTCCAGCACACAGCTGTGTAGGCGAGTGTTCAAAATCAGGGTGGTCAGTCTTTGTATTGAACATCCATCTTTTGCCATGAGAGCTGGGACTGCGCCTATGTCGGTCGTTCCGGTAGATTAAGGGGGCGAACTTCGAGGAGTTGCGCATTTTCCCCAAGAGTCAGGGGAGGACACCTTGACGGAAGGTTCGGCACAGAAGAAAAATCAAAGTCCGCGACAGTCAAACCCAGACTTGTCCGTCGGAAATTTACCAGTGGACAGTGGTTTGGTAAAGGGGGACAACAACTTCTGCTGCTCTACCTATAAAATGATGAGCATTGACGACATCGTGTCCAAGATCCAAGTGCACGCAGGCTCTGTCATGTGCTGGCGACGCTGATCTGACAAATTTCCAGCTAAGCCCTGGTCCAACAGGGCGCCAGGGCGGTGTCAAGCGATGATGCTGTCTGTCAAACTGGAGAATTCAAGTGCTCAGAGTGGAAATGGGATGGTTCTGGATGGTCCTTGGAGTAGCGAGTAGACCCAGAAAACCTCGTGCAACACAATCGTTTCTTTTGGCTTAGGTGCCATCAGCCCATTGAGGGGACAGCCATGTGGCGGACCCTGGCGTCTCGACGATGCTGGTTTTCTGGAGCGGCCGATGTCTGTCACGTTGCTGGGCGGAAGCGGTGTCTGATATGCAAAGTGTTAGCGAACACTCGCACTCAAGGCACTCTAAGACAGAGGTCATTTGTACGCAGAGAAATTAAGACACGACTGGATGGTGGATTGGGGACAGAGACAAAATACACAGCCGTGCCTGCGTGCCTAATCTGCCTGACCAATGTGTCTTGTTACCCCTACGCGGGACGAGTAACTCGTAGATGAGACAGAAGCGGCCCTGGTGGCCCAGCACGATTATTAGTTGATTGACCTTTGGGGGACCACGGGGACCTTGGGGAGTGCCTAGTGAGCCTGGCCACTGGGACTTTAGCCCACCAGCCTGTCCTCGGTACCCCTAAGCGTGCCTACCCAACTATTCGGCTACTCCGCTTAAAGCTGGAGGTTCTGGCTGGCATTGGCA